ATATGCCACAATTTTGAATTTTAGGTATATCTTGAAAACTATCAACTTTTTCATAATTTATAAAATGTAAGCTCATTAAATGAAGCCATGCAGCATGTTAAGAGGATTTACCACCGATCCAGTTGTCGGTAGGGAACCCTCTGGATCCAAAGCAATGGAGGTGGAAATGTGTCGTCTGCGCTGGAACCGATCCGACCCGTGGACTCCGCCTCACCTGGTTCTATATTGAACATAATCTTTTGCATGATATTTTGCTCATTAAAGACAGGTTGCGGACCAAGGTGTGTCCGTCGGAAGGCAAGTGTCTCATGCTCAGTCGCCTGCTTATACATCTATACAGGGTCGCCATTAAAGACGGAACGGGAGGTCTCACGCTCAAACCATTTGAGATATAGCCATCCATTTGAAATTATTTCACATAAGAATTTTGAGGTTAAAAAGAATTTTGGGTGATTGAGTGCAGCAGCCATCTTGAATTTTTTTTAATGCTAATATAGGTCATGTGATACGTCATTCTCTTTACATGTACTCGGCATTCAGAATTTATTCCGGATTCCGAGCCAGATTCTGAATCAGTAAAGATTGATTAAATCAGATTAAGTAGTCGTAATGGTTCAAATTATTATGGGATTAAGTTTTATAACAAACTACTTGTTTTGAAATTCTCTTATGGAATCTATGCGGTTTTATGGTATCAATGGAAATGTTGTAGATTCGAGTATCCAGAGCTATGTTGTTTAGAGAGGTGCCATTTGAAAGTTAAAAAAATATGACATTCGGCGAAGGTAATCAAACATTTTCTTTTGGCGATAAAGAACGTAACAACCTTTTGTGAAGGTGGAAGCCTGTGCATCAATTCAAAATTTAACCGCCGGCGCCGGCGCATTTAGTTTCTCTAAAAAACGGTGGAATTTTGAAGAAAAATGGCTACGGGTATAACATGTTACATAAAAGCATAAGTACTCTTCAAGTAATTATTCAATAAGTGAGGGATGAAGTGGAGTGTGGACGGAATTTGAAGCAGATGCTGTTGAAAGCTTAACAAATCAAATCAAATTTATATTCAACTGCTATACCTATGAATTTTTAGACACACCTCGTAACTTACGTTTCCGTAATTGAGGATTATATCATGTCAATGTCATAGACGCAGAGACTTGTTATAGAGGATATGTGGTCATTTTTATGATTTTGACCGTGTTTATTTATTTATCAAATTTATATTTCGATAGAATGCTAAAAATGTTGAGGTAATGGGCCAATAATTCTTTACATCGATCTATGGGGTTTGTCTAATGCCTAGAAACGATTTTTTCCCAAATATAATATCCCATAATAAATATAATGCATAATTATAATTCTACAATGAATTTAAAAAAATCAATGCGGCTTAAACCCCATATGATCGAATTGTAGTAGAAATGCATTGAAAAACGTATACAATAACCGAGGATTATATTTTGTTTCAGAAATGGATGACTTCCAAATTGAAAAGAAGTTCTTTTAATTTTAGTTTATAAGGTTAGTTATTCAGATGAAATTTTTCGAGTCCCTTTATACCGCAATTGTACTTCCTTTGTCTATAATATTGTTTTTAGTATATACAAAATTTGTATCTCTTGTTTCCTTAATACCCTTTTTCCTGCTGATTATATTACTACTATGTATACGGCTTCATCACAGACGCGAATTATTTCGACTAATCAACTTAGTTTTAAATATGAATTTATTGTGCTTACCTTTAAATTCCCTAGTTTTGTTAAATGAGTGGGTACATAATTTCCTCGATCATTTCTGTTAGGAGTGTGTAATCTTAAACAAGCATTATCGGAATAAGAATGATATGTCCCCGAACTAAAACAAGTATAAATTGTGCACAACTCTTGTGTAGATAAAGCGCATTTTTTTAACCCAAAATAGCTTTTGTTTCGACATCACCAATGGATATATTTCTTGCAGATGTGTCAATCTCCCTTTGTGCGTACCCTCTTCCGACAATCTGTTCTTAAGGTATAAGGGAATAATACCCGATCACGATAAGAAGTCGAGGAGGAGGGCTATGGTTGGTAGAAATTATTTCCTTTCGTTGAGACCTTTCAAGCGTCTCAAAACTTACTTCATTAGTCGACGAAGGGAAAATGTTGAGGGTTTCCAATATTATTTGTTCCCTTACATTTGAATGTAACACATAATATTTGACTCTATATAATCGTGCCATCAGTTCCACCCCGAGAGAAAACGAGAGGGGATGAGGACGGAGTGATGAGATCACTGAATTTACAGATGGTAATATTTTATTCTTGAAACCGTACATTTGGGAAGCAAAATTAGCCGTGGATGTTTTACCTGATTACCAACACTTCCACACACTTGACTTTTAAGTGAACTTGTTGTGAACGTTAAATGAAAATTGCCATGTTCAACTAATTTACGGCACCTTGGATCGACTCATTCTGCTGGATACAGGAGGGGATCAACTCCCTCCCAGCCGGTTCCAATCTAGAGATTGACGGCTTACGCCCACAATACCCTAAAGACACAAAGTAGGTACGTCGAAATCTGCCGGTGAAGCTGGACACCGGGCACTCGACGCCATTACAAAAGTCTGCAATTTTCACTTGGAAGGCAACGTCATCCCCGAAGTACTCCCAAGACTCCCCAGACGCTATTTCGATCTGAACACCGTAAATAATGATGGAGCAGCTATACATGATAATATTTCGGATTATTTACGAATAAACATACAGTTATTTCATGTCATTTGAATTTGTGTCTTAGTGTTTTTTTTTCTTTTACTATTGTGTGTCATTGCGCAGTTTTCGTATTAATTTTATCGTTTTTTTGTAAATTGTATATTTGGATTTGTGTATTTGATTCAGGATTTGATTGTAAAATTGGGTGTTAATTTCAATTAACGCACGTGTTATTATCCCTGATAGAAGAAATAACGGAGACGCAGATGTTATGATGTAAGCGTTAGATCGGCGTAAGTGGGAATGCGTTCTTTCGAAACTGACGTTATCAAATCTGATGGTGATTGGCGATTGCTTTGAAAATCTTGACGAAGGAGTGTGGAAGTGGTATTCCCTTAAATGCTGGAATCAACGTAAAAACTGCTGGTGCGGCTGCTACTACCTGTTTCATTACTTTTTAGCGGCGGTAAAAAGAGCGTGTAAATTTGTCAACCTCGTTGTTTTGCTGAAGGTAGTTCGTTCGAAAAAGTTCTAGTGATGAATAAGGGTACATGATCCAGTGTATTCGGGCATGGATGTCTGTAAATTTGTAGGGCTGAAATCCCGTCCAATTAACAATAAAGGTCAAAAATAAATAAATTAGGCATATTCCAATTCTGCGACCCAATTTCCTTAAAAATATCAAATGATGCTTAAATCATAGGTCAAATCAAAGTAGAAACTTATTCAAAGACATTCAATTTTGTTTCAGAACTGGCCGACTTCCTTTGAAGGGTTTTTGTAGCAAATCTTGTTAAAAGTAGGTTTATGAGGTTAGGCATGCAGATAAAATGTTTCGAGTCCTTATTATTTAATGAGAAGACCACCTCAGACGATCCCATCTCAAATTAGAGAAACGTCTTTCTGTTTTTCTCGTTTCCCTTGAAAACCAAATTTAATGTAGCTAAGTGAGATGAGACGTACCTGATAAGCATACATAACTGAAGGCATCAGATTTGGTTATACTAAGAGGACATAATTATAATAATCTAGTTTACGTTATACCGCATAAAATGTTTAATTTCCCTACCAAATGTCATGTGAATTAAATTTAGCGACTTGCTTTTAAATGCGGTGTTGAGAGTATATAATAAACAAAATTTTACGTTACGTTGATACAGTTGAGTTATTTCCTCTAGAGAGGTATGTAAAACCTTTCATCATCCCGTAATATTCTTATTTGGTGAATCCCAACACAAGCCCCACCACTCCCTGTGTGAAAATAACTTTATATTCCTGCAAAGCAACGAAATTTTGTTAGGGAATATTATTGCGTTAAGTTTATGCCGCAGAGATGCAAATAGCTTCGCGAATTCGCGGCGTACATAATTTTACAATTTGCAACTTACGTGTATCTCGTTCAGATACGAATCTATTTAAATTTGAATGGAACTTTTCTACATTTCAGCGGTACGATTTATTATAATGTAAATCTTAAGTTCACAGATTGCTTAAAATTACTCTGCCTTGATGATACATACAAAGTTAGTGTCAACAGGAGTCATAAATAAAATGTTCCCGTAAAGTTTAAAAATAATCGTTTCCTGTGAAAATGTTTGAATGTTGATTTCTGCTTTTCAAAAAGCGGCTGCACTTATATTGTATTTCATTAATTAGATTTTGAATGACGCTTTTAAGGTGAATGTATTTTATATTTAGAAAACATTTTTATAGTGAATTGGTTTACATTTTTGGTGTAGGTATGAGAATCAAAACAATCTTTCAGTTTTGAAAATTCTCGGATCTGTGTATTCTGGACAATTCAAGTATCGAAGATTTTCTGAAGTAATCGTGGAAGCGGGAGAGGGAGGGGACGTTATTTCTCCTAGAGAAGTTTGTCACAATGCTTTGGATCCTAGATCACCTATCGATCTCGGGTTATTAAAGATCCTCTATAGATTTCTCTTTTGGACAATTGTCCACCTGTATGCTTCTTCCTCTCTCTGACACAAAACATACAACTAACCACGTTTCTGTATAGCGTATCCTAATCAGTACTTTTACACATGCAACGTGCAATTCTTCCTAACACCTGCACTCTCAGAAACACGTGCGCTAATTAATTTTGCCTGATAATAACCCTTCTTATCGCAAACGACCAGATGGAAGCTTATTTCTAACACATCTAAATTGAACAAATTACCGATAAAAGATAAATAAGATTTACGCTTTACAAACATTTTTAAAAGAACTTTCTATTGGCCAGTTTGCAATTTAGCTCCAACGACCAATTAAAAACGAGATACTCTGTTGTCTCCACTGTTCTAAATTGAGTCACTTTATTTATAATACATCCGTGCATAAAGTACCTTACACTACTTAAAAACAAAGTATCTTACCAGATTGCTTAGTTCCTCGTAGGTCGTATAATATTTTACGTACTAATTTATAAATTAATGTGACGATTTCAATTACAATCATAAAAGGAAAATTACAACTTGTCATACAAGTAAGCACTATTTTTCTATTTAGTTTAATATAATGTTGGTAGTAATTACTTCTTTAATATCTACTTTAATGTGAATTAGTACATAATTAAATGTAATCTTGAATAGAATCAAGCAATGAAAATAGCCACCTAACTATAATTAAGTATTTATTTACCGGGTACATAGAAGGTTCTAATAATGCATTTCTTCAGACAATTGAAAATAGAAATTAGACATACTCAAATTCAAGTTGAACACGAATTTGAACTATCTTAGAGCAGTTGAAGGTAAACATTTGAAAACTACCAATTTTAGGTTCAATATCTCACAATTATTTTCCATAATAAGGTAGGTAACACGCGGTTAGAAAGACCATTTTCTCCGTGCCTTTCCGTTAAATTTGGGCTTGTAAGATTTGATTGTACAGTTTTGATCTGTGGTTTATACTTTATACGGTTTTTAAAAGGAACTACTTGAGAAAAATACCGTAAAATATTGTCATACCATGTACCCCAATGATGGAAATAACTAACTGACGGCCAACTTTTGATGCTTCCCGTATATGAATTGATACTATTGATAGAAACATGCTAGGAATAAATATTTTAAGCTGGTTGGTTCTGAAATTCTTATAGGTAGTAGAGTACCGTACCGTGTAGTAATAAGAAGCAAATAAAAGTTGTCGATCTATGACACAGTTACACCGTACAATGTGGTTAGTACTAGTACTACTTAGCATATAAGTGTTATAATATAACGTTACACTAAATTGGTGTGCATAGTTTCATGTTAAAACGTGTTTATTATGTGTGCACCATGAACAATAACAATTAAAGCTTCATAAAAACAACGCAACATTAATTCTGTAAAATTGAAATACAGACAATCAAATTAGACTAATTTTCCCATTTGGCTTTATGGTAATTACTGACGTTCATAGTTCGTCATGTATATCAAAATCTGACGAATTTGGAGATTCTGAATCTCTTCCATTCCATGCCTCTACAGATGAAATATTGTAAAATCCTCTTGAAGGACTAAAGCTTTCCCGTCCCCGAAGGAGATACCTACGGAAATCCTATCGGAAACAACTTGCATAATTTGTATTTTTTACCATAAGAAATTATTTATTCCATTAACAGAAAAGGAACCTTTCATTAGCGAGTACTTAGTCGTTTTAACGTTCACCACGGCTACAGAGGGGTAACCAAATCCGCCCATTCCTAGGGCATGTTCTAAATCAGACTGGTCCCCTGCTTGACTCCACATCCACCTGTTTGTAATATTAAGAAAATCCCTCCAAGCGTGAGTCCCACTCACCCCCACATTCTGGCCTTGTGTTTTTCACCTACGCGTTCTAGAATATCCAAATAATTATTACGACAATCCGACCTGCAGTCTAAAATATTAGGTAATACGGAAATTACGCAGAAGGGTTTGCTTTGGCAGCCGTTTTTAAAGGAATCATCGTTCAAGATCTGAAAGAAATAATAGCGAAACGTCCGATGTCATCCTATATACGGTATAGGTACCTGTAAAATTTGCGGCGCTGGAAGATCTTCCTCAATCTTATCTAAGCACCACCTCACAATGTCCGTGGATAAGGGGCCTCCATTATAGTCTACGACCGACCGTCTGGTTTTCTTACCAAATCTGAAATATTTCACGGTGGGATATCTTTGAACGTATTCCTTTGTTTTTTCCGGATGAATAGTAGCATCTAAAGCACCAAATTTCATTTTGCCTTTCAATTGGAAAGCCGCTGAAACCCAATGAGACGCTAAGTTTTTGCACTGTCCACACGAAGGCCCGTAGAAAACAACAAGCCACATATCATGGGAATCTATGACAATGTTGTCGAAATTGTTATCTGTCAGTCTGACAACATTCTCGCTGTCAAATAGCTGAAAAGTTGCACAGGTAGAAAATTACTTTAAAGAAGTTATATACCTGGGGTTTAGTTTTTGATTTGGTTGTAGTGGGTATCATGGCAAGGGCGTCGTCAATAAAACCTTGCGCCGTTCGTGGTCCATCGAAATCCATTGGCTTCTTCTTATTTTCCCCGAACATTTTAAAAGTGGGCAAGAATTTTATATTATACCGCTCAGTCAAGTATTCGTCTTTATCAATATCCACAGCGCCCACTTTCACAACGCCCTAAGGAAGCAATTTACGGAATTGACTTTGAATTGGTGATTCCCCACCTTTAGAGCGTCCGCGGCTTTTTGAAATTCAGGATAGAGTTTTTTACATTCCACGCTCCAAGATGTGAAAAATTCAACTAACCACAAATCGTTACTCTTCAAAACCATTTCATTGAAATTCGAACCGCTGAGTTCTATTATATTTGAATTAGGCGGATCTAACGCCAAAGCCGATGTTAAAACGTGCAATGCTGAAATGGGTTTAGATATACACTCTTATAAATGAATGCCGGATAGATATTACCTAATAATCGCCACATTCTGAAACTTAAGTCGTTAAATGCACCCGTCGACGCTTTTGACAGGATACTGACAAGTGCCTTCTACTCAATAAACCAAATCACGTTTGCTGATTTCGATTTCTATAGCAAGTCCTCCATTTTGCGTAGATATATATCAGCTAATTTGAGGTTTGCCAAAATGTTCAAAGAAATATGTTACTAGCCTTCAGAATATAACAAAATGAATTTGCCTGAAATTATACCGTAGGTACTTAGTAAGTTCCGAGGTAAGTTCTTCAATTGCGATTTCTTCAACGTATTAGGAACCATTATAAATAATAGTCAAACTCTCGATCGAAATCAAACTATAATTCGTCGTTTAGGGACAGCCATTGTGGTGTTTACAAGCACGAAACTACTTAGGAAGTTGTTTATGGATGTTGAGCGGCATCACTTTTATTTTAAATGATAAATGGTTGCACTTACTGCAACCTACCCACTAAAAAAAACAGCGGTAACAGTTGAGTAAAATAAAAAATCATCGCCTCGTGCAAAACAATAAAAGCGAAATGATTTGCGCGCACATTAACGTGAATAAGTAGAATAAGTTTTTAATGTTCGTATACGTTAAATCGTTAATTTTACGCTACTCGTATACATTCTCTTATTACTTATATTACTGTTTTATTGACAACGGCACAATTTCGAAAATTAATGAGAACTCTTGGCGGATATAGAGATATAGCAAATCATTAATCGTCATTCCATCAAAAATGTTCATTAGTACCCGGAATGTTTACAAGTACCCAAATTAGTAAGTAGGTCTTGTAAAGTGTGGGTATAAAAACGCCGAAACAATGCGAAACTTATACTTGTACCTATATTTTCCTTACAGGCAAAAGGTAATTAATTGTAAATATGTTATTCTACAAAACCTGCACCAATTTGATGTACTATCTTGTACCCTGCTCTTAATCCAAGATATTTTATGACCGCCGCCGATTTACAGTGGACTTTGCTAATTAACGTATAGCTGTCAGTTTTTTGTGTTGGTATTTTATGCGGCATCTTAGGTACTTATACTCGTATATGTCAGTCAAATTGCACCTACTGCCGGTTGTTAGTGAATGGCGGTTATATTTTATTCTGAACACATGCAAACATAATATTGTATAGTTTTTACGATAGTCTGTCATTAGTTTACGGTATTTTTTACGTAATATGTTTGTTTGCCTATCCCGCAATACTCTACAAATCAAATAGTTGGTTACATAAAAACCGCATGGGGGTAAACTGCCTAAAAAGCTATTTTGGAGATGATGGTGGGGAGCCAGTGGAATAGCTCCAAAACTAATGAATTAGGTGGTTCTGAAGTTAACATGCAACTGGAGAAATCAAAATGAACTTAGAAAAATGCATCGGCCTAACGCAAAACTGCAAGCTTTGAAATCTATCAATGACGATGGCATGCCTCCAAAGAGCAAGGCATTGCCTGAAGTAAGTATGTCATCATGATACAATATTATTTGCAACGCTTCGAGATCTATCGTGAACGGCTGATACCAAAGGGCGCCTACACGAATTGATAGATGATGAATGATGAAATGAGTTCAAGGCCACAATGAATGAGTACGGTTATGAAACGAGTTCAATCACTGAAAGTATCAAAGAGGGGAGCAGTGTTCGAAACCTTGATGACGTATCGAGTAGACGCGCGACCCCAGCAACATCGATACATAAAATAGAAGCGAGTAGTGTCGCACCGAATAGCGCTACTTAATACTTATAGTAGAGCGCTATGATGCTGAAGGCGAGTGATGGTGAGAAACCAGTTCTGCTCGACTCCGCGGTCAGTGCAGGAATGTTCCGATATCGATACAGAGAACGATGCGCAGCACCATGTGTATGAAATTCAGAGTAAAGCGCAAATACATTCACTGTACAAACGTGAATCATACAAAGACAAAATCTGCAATTGTAAAATTAAAACTCCAGCGAAGGAGTCAAACAAACCGGAACCGAGCTCAGAAAAACCAAGCATTCAAGTGAACACGATGAGCAATTCATAACATCTTAGAATAGTAATCAATTCCCTGATACGCAAGTTCCTGTTCTCGATCGTTCGCTTAAATCTGACTCGTTGGATCCACTTGGCAGGTTTGCCAAACTAAGTTTCGTTCCCGAATACTATCATCCAGTGTTCCAACCTGTTCGCCTGGAGCTCTTGGAAACTAAAGAATTTGAGGGTAAACCAGAAAATTGGGAAACCTTCCGTGATACGTTTGAAGGCCTCGTACACAAAGGGGATACCATTTCTATCATAAAACTTCAAAAGATTACAGTAGTACCTAATAGGGCCCCTTCACGTGCATTCCCGGAACGACGCTCCGTAAGTTTTGGAGTGACGTCAATCCAAAACTGTACGTGTAGTTCATCCTCGCGCCATGAATGATACGCGCCTGGCGTGGAGCGATGGAATCAAACATGTTTGAATTCCTGGCGTGGCGCGAGACCCTCCGCGCGCCAAAGGCGAGCGTGTAGTTTCGTTTTAACAAAGGCTCGGGAAAGGCAAGGTCATTATTCACCAATGTTCTCATCATAGCTAACAATCGTGGCAGCTAACAATTATCGCACTTACAGGGCATGTTGCAAATGAAAACAGCTAAAGAAGAAATCCCTATAGAAATTAAAAGGGTCATCGATGGATTCAAGCGTCATTGGCGTGGATTGCATTCAATTGGTCAGGATATCAAAGTCCCAGTTTACCAGATTCATATTCTCTTTCAAAACCTGGGCGAAGGTACACAAGAAAAGTGAGAAGGGAAATGTCGACCACATTCACAGCATCCACGTTCTTGCTATTACTCAACGCGAGTCTTGTCCCATTGCATCTCAAGGTCACACAATCTGGAGATGGAACATTGTGAAAGACAAGAACTTGTGCTTCAACTGTCTTCAATCGAGTCAGTTTATCAAGGACTGTCCCGGCGGTACTTGTCGTGCATCTGGTTGCAACGCTAAACATCACACCTTATTGCATCAAGCTATGAATCAATCGAAATCGTCATCCGCCTTAGCTGCATTATTGGGACGTGCGGCCAACGAAATACTTCTTAGCACTGTCAGAATCAACATAATCAATGCTCAACGCCGAACTCGTTGTGGGCGTGGGCTCATTCGTTAAGATATTTGGTCTTCGAGTTCAAGAATGCGACAACGTCTTCGTTGGTGTTGGAAAAAATTAAAGCTGGATCGTAGGAGAACCTTTAACGATGGTAGTACCGTTCACATGTCGTTATCAAAGCCATTAGGATGCACTGTTGTCACACAGAAGACATTGAGCAACCTTCTCGAGTCGCTTTAGTCAATCGAACAGTATGATTCAGAAATTCGTTATGGATCAGAGGACGACGAATTCGTTGAACGTCATTTTTCTGAAAGCTACAAATTAGAAAATGGCAAATTCGTAGTCAAACTGCCCTTCAAAAAAGATCCTGCCAAATTGGGAACGTAAATTCATCAAGAATTCTCTGCAGACGTGAAGAAGATTCGAGTCGTTTTTAATGCATCAGCCAAGACCAGCACAAATATATCACGACTGTATACCTCGCCCTGGGCCTCGCATCCAAGACGAACTTGTTAATATACTGCTTCGATTTCGTTCTCATCCTGTCGCACTGAACTCGTACCCTCGTACTCCCTGGGGATGAGTTGTTCCAAGGAATAATTTACTGTCCAAATATTACCTATGAGTCTACTAACTGAAAACGTTAACAGATGGTACAACCCCAGCGGCTTTCACTGCTACACGGTCTATCCAACAAGCCATCCAGTAGGATGACGATTGGTATCGTTTAGCTGCTAACGTTGCAGTCAACGCTTTCTACATGGATGACTACAAAAGATGTTGCAATCTACCGGTTTTCATTTTTGCAAATTGTTGTCTAACAGCCGCAAAGTCATGCAATCAATTCCTGACACTTCTTTGGGGGTGGCTCCCAAACGAAACACGTTGGACCCTAGGTTTATTTGGAAAAATTATTATTATTATATATATTGGTACGATACCCTAGCGTGTATTATATTCGGAAATTTCATGCGCTTACGTTAGTGTAAACTAAATGGGTAAAGTTTTAAATGAGAATTAAAGTTTGGCGACCCTCAAAAAGCGAATTAGAACGTATTACGGCAAAAACGAACAATAATGGAAGTTTTAAACGTGAGAAATTAAATGCTGGGACCATGAAAATTAGAACGATCTAGAGAAGGATGGACTGAATTAAATTGCATCTCGCAATTCGTCGCACATCCAAATGATGGATGGGGTGCAGATTTTATACGACTGTTTTAATAAGTTAAATCTTTTTGTAATTAGTGGACTGAAGGACCATAAGCTATATTTTTTGGTTAAATGATTTTTCTCGCCCGAACCATACAAATACATAAATGTAATACAAAGTTTGGCACGTACCTGGAGAGGCTTATTTCGGTGAGCTGCTGTACCGGCTGATGGGGGCCCCCAAAGATTGGTTTGGTTTTTTCACTTTTAGATTGATAAAACGGATTGCGCGTCAAACTCGTGCATGCTTAACTTAACTCTACGCACATCGTTCCGTCTTCGCTAGCCCATCTCTCTTCATTTTGAAGCGTTTTCGCGAATCCACCCGAGTGCCCGATTGTACTTGTATGATTTGTATTTTTATTGAATTTATAGCGCGCCGAAACAACTGAGGTTTAAACAACGACATTAACATTTACCGGCGGATCGCGTAATTTTGAGTAAACGTAATTTGAATTAAAGTTCCAACTGCAAATCAAATTGTATAAATATGCGACTCCATCTAGAGGAAAGTAAAAGTTTTTCTTTTGAATTTATTATACCCATAGATAACGAGAATCCTCCAGATTCGTTGATTTTATTTTTACGATTATAAATTGTAAGTAAAGGAGATAGTAACCCTTTGTATTATTGGTCATGGAAAGTTGAATTAAAATTTCACTTTAATAATTTCGTACAACTTCAGTGCTTTTTGACGTAAAACTAACATTATTTTTGCTATTGCTATAAATATCTGGACCTAACTGCGAGGTTTTGATTTCTTTAAATGTATGTGAAAGACATTTGCCCTTGTGTTCGGCCAAATGCTTTGAAATCAGAGGTGCGACGATTTTAATTTTTTTCCACTATAGAGACATTCTCCTAGAAAAAGTTCGTGACGATGACGGTACGGATTTGCCAAAAACTAACATTATTTTTTATGTCATTTGAAAATAAAACCAAAATTATTACTACTACTACTACTGGTTTTGTTAAATACCCGTTACAAAACGGAAACGTAACTTCGTAATAATTGGTTAAGATAATAATTTTGCACCTATCCTTCTAAACGATGATCTTGATCAACCGATTGATATAGAACGATACTTGACTGACAGCAAATGCGGATACCGGTAAAATACAAACATCCAACCACAAACGTGATTTCTCAATCGTCAATTCCCTATAATAAAATA